TGGTGACCACTGAAAAGGGCAACACACACACACATGAATCCTCCCTCAACAGGTTTGTAAATGCTGGTACAGTAATTACAATTGCTGTATTGCTCCGTTCATGTTGAAGGGAATGTCCATCTTGATGCTGTATTGACGTTTGTTGACTCTTGTACTGTATGTATATCGTGGACGCATGGACCTTTGGTATATATTGAACCAACAGGCTCATATTTATCAGTCTTAAACTAGAGAATGTATTGTAGGAATATATTCATATCTATATTTTCTATATATCAGAAAATGACAGTTGTGGTTTGGGAGTTGGGTTGATAGGTAGGGTGGGTGTCAGGGAGTTGGGTTGACAGGTTAGGGTGGGTTGTCAGGGAGTTGGGTTGACAGATTAGGGTGGGTGTCAGGGAGTTGGGTTGAGAGGGTGGGTGGGTGTCGGAGTTGGGTTGACAGGTTAGGGTGGGTTGTCAGGGAGTTGGGTTGACAGGTTAGGGTGGGTGTCAGGGAGTTGGGTTGACAGATTAGGGTGGGTGTCAGGGAGTTGGGTTGACAGATTAGGGTGGGTGTCAGGGAGTTGGGTTGACAGTATAGGGTGAGTGTCAGGGAGTTGGGTTGACAGGATAGGGTGGGTGTCAGGGAGTTGGGTTGACAGATTAGGGTGGGTGTCAGGGAGTTGGGTTGACAGATTAGGGTGGGTGTCAGGGAGTTGGGTTGACAGTATAGGGTGAGTGTCAGGGAGTTGGGTTGACAGGATAGGGTGAGTGTCAGGGAGTTGGGTTGACAGGATAGGGTGGGTGTCAGGGAGTTGGGTTGACAGATTAGGGTGGGTGTCAGGGAGTTGGGTTGTCAGGGGGTTGGGTTGTCAGGGAGTTGGGTTGTCAGGAGGTTGGGTTGTCAGGGAGTTGGGTTGTCAGGGCGTTGGGTTGTCAGGGTGTTGGGTTGTCAGTAACAGCTGTCCTCTTTTCTTTGTTTGCTGTATATGGAAAGGCATGGTCACGTGTCTGTTAATGGAGCCCCCCTTCATTCCTTAGCCTGGCTCTGTGAACCCTGTGTTCTACTGTCTGATCTTCCTGCTCCAGTAGTGTGTGTGTGTGTGTGTGTGTACTACTAGTAAGAGAACGTGTGTGTGTGCATGTGTGTGTGTGTGTGTGAGTGTGTGCATGTGTGTTGTTTGGAGGAAATGTGTCTTGACCTGACCCCATCACCCTGGTGTTCAACAACATGGTTTACGGCTTCAGAACTTGTCCGATGCTGCAGTTTAATGGATTAAAATAAATGCTACCTACCTACCCTTTGTCATGGTTTCCTTTCTTCACTGCATCACAGCCTTTTCACTGCAAATGGTCTGGAAATCCAGGCGTCACCATGATTCATATTCATACACATCAGTAGTTCTACATTTACCATACATGCATACATACATACATACATGCATGCATACATACATACATACATACATACATACATACATACATACATACAGTGAGGGAAAAAAGTGTTTGATCCCCTGCTGATTTTGTACGTTTGCCCACTGACAAAGAAATGATCAGTCTATAATTTTAATGGTAGGTTTATTTGAACAGTGAGAGACAGAATAACAACAAAAACATCCAGAAAAACGCATGTCAAAAATGTTATAAATTGATTTGCATTTTAATGGGGGAAATAAGTATTTGACCCCCTCTCAATCAGAACGATTTCTGGCTCCCAGGTGTCTTTTATACAGGTAACAAGCTGAGATTAGGAGCACACTCTTAAAGGGAGTGCTCCTAATCTCAGTTTGTTAACTGTATAAAAGACACCTGTCCACAGAAGCAATCAATCAATCAGATTCCAAACTCTCCACCATGGACAAGACCAAAGATCTCTCCAAGGATGTCAGGGACAAGATTGTAGACCTACACAAGGCTGGAATGGGCTACAAGACCATCGCCAAACAGCTTGGTGAGAAGGTGACAATAGTTGGTGTGATTATTCGCAAATGGAAGAAACACAAAAGAACTGTCAAACTCCCTCGGCCTGGGGCTCCATGCAAGATCTCACCTCGTGGAGTTGCAATGATCATGAGAACGGTGAGGAATCAGCCCAGAACTACACGGGAGGATCTTGTCAATGATCTCAAGGCTGCTGGGACCATAGTCACCAAGAAAACAATTGGTAACACACTATGTCGTGAAGGACTGAAATCCTGCAGCGCCCGCAAGGTCCCCCTGCTCAAGAAAGCACATATACAGGCCCATCTGAAGTTTGCCAATGAACATCTGAATGATTCAGAGGAGAACTGGGTGAAAGTGTTGTGGTCAGATGAGACCAAAATGGAGCTCTTTGGCATCAACTCAACTCGCCGTGTTTGGAGGAGGAGGAATGCTGCCTATGACCCCAAGAACACCATCCCCACCGTCAAACATGGAGGTGGAAACATTATGCTTTGGGGGTGTTTTTCTGCTAAGGGGACAGGACAACTTCACCGCATCAAAGGTACGATGGACGGGGCCATGTACCGTCAAATCTTGGGTGAGAACCTCCTTCCCTCAGCCAGGGCATTGAAAATGGGTCGTGGATGGGTATACCAGCATGACAATGACCCAAAATACACGGCCAAGGCAACAAAGGAGTGGCTCAAGAAGAAGCACATTAAGGTCCTGGAGTGGCCTAGCCAGTCTCCAGACCTTAATCCCATAGAAAATCTGTGGAGGGAGCTGAAGGTTCGAGTTGCCAAACGTCAGCCTAGAAACCTTAATGACTTGGAGTAGATATGCAAAGAGGAGTAGGACAGAATCCCTCCTGAGATGTGTGCAAACCTGGTGGCCAACTACAAGAAACATCTGACCTCTGTGATTGCCAACAAGGGTTTTGCCACCAAGTAGTAAGTCATGTTTTGCAGAGGGGTCAAATACTTATTTCCCTCATTAAAATACAAATCAATTTATAACATTTTTGACATGCGTTTTTCTGGATTTTGTTGTTGTTATTCTGTCTCTCACTGTTCAAATAAACCTACCATTAAAATTATAGACTGATCATGTCTTTGTTAGTGGGCAAACGTACAAAATCAGCAGGGGATCAAATACTTTTCATACATACATACATCCATCCCTCCATACGTTAACTCACATTTACCCATCATGCAGTGCATGAACTGACCAGGCCCCAGGAGAGCGGTCTAATGTGACGTGGTAGAACGTGTTTGTAGGCCATCTGTGTGTCTAGGAAGTCATTAGCTAGGCTCTGGCGAGTCGCACTGTGCTGCTACGGTAGCAGATTATGACCTGTAGTGATTCTGAAAGACTGCACGGTTCCACTCACCCTTTCATCCTTCTCCTCCTCCTCTCTCCCTCCATCTCCTCACACACATATATTAGCCTTTTCCAGTTGCGGCAAACCAGAGTGATGAGATTAGCTTGAACACTGACATGTACACATTTCACAGCTGACTTGGGTTTTCCCATTTGGTGTTTTTAACCTCCTAACAGCAGTACGACCATCTTTATGGAGACGCTGACCGAGGCCTTCTGCTGCCACCTAGTGACTGGAACAGAAACTGCCTGTCCTCTCCACAACCACTATCAACATTTTAATTTTTTATTTAACCTTTATTTAACTAGGCAAGTCAGTTAAGAACAAATTCTTATTTACAATGACTGCCTACACCGGGCCATTTGTGCGCCGCCCTATGGGACTCCAAATCACGGCCGGTTGTGATACAGCCTGGAATCGAACCAGGGGTTCTGTAGTGACGCCTCAAGCACATGCGATGCAGTGCCTTAGACCACTGCGCCACTCGGGAGCCCACTCGGGAGAACTATTGCATTATGGTATTTAGGGCTAAGATACCTCAGATTTTCCTTCTTTCCGTCTAATCAGGTGCTAAATCGGACATCTGTAAGCAATGGATTCTGTGTAAGCTGAATGTTTTGGCCTGCTTAATTCTATCTCTTGTAAAAGTTCCTCTTGTTTCACATATGTGACAGGAGAAAGAAGCAAACAGAATTAAAGCCCACCCACTGTTCCACCAAACAACATCAAGCCGACAGTAGAGCTCAGAGGCAAGTGTGTGTGCAATGCATGAGAAGCAGGTTAAAACCAGCTGTAAATTAATATCAATGAAATATGTGGCTGTGGTACTTTATAATGAGTTCAAGGGGAGCTAGAGCAAAACAAAAACATGTTTTTTTGCAGCTTGCAATTTTCGGTGATGGATTTACGCATTTCATGTGCTGCAGTAGTCTCTCGCATCTCTCTGTCCCGCTTTCTCTTCCAATCTCTCTCTCTCCACCCTCTCTCTGTCTCTCTCCACCCTCTCTCCACCCTCTGTCTCTCTCCACCCTCTCTCTCCACCCTCTGTCTCTCTCCACCCTCTCTCTCTCCACCCTCTATCTCTCTCCACCCTCTCTCTGTCTCTCTCCACCCTCTCTCTCTCTCTCCACCCTCTCTCTCTCTCTCTCCACCCTCTCTCTCCACCCTCTCTCCTGTCACTGTGAGTAACACTCAGATGGTCAGGTAGAGGCACTAGTTGAAAGCTCCCCCTCTGTTTTTGATGCAGTGTGTGTGTGTGTGGGTAAGAGCAGCAAACCTGAGGGGATTATGAAGTATTGTAGATGAAGACATGCCAGTGGTTCTGTGGTTATTCCCATGTTCTGCTAGATACTTAAATATTTATGTTCCACTTTCAAAGTCTGTAGCTAGAGGAAATGGGCTAGTTTTCTCTCTATATAAAGAAAAGATGGGGCTTATCAAAAAATCAGTTGAGAGAAAAATAAGTAGTTTTTTAAACATGTTTTAATGGCTCAACCAGTGAACAGATCGTCTTTCCCTGAGCCTCCAACGTTGGCTATCCCACCAAGAACCCAGGGCTGTATACGAAATGACCCTATTCCCCATATACGGTACTTTATTGGGGATAGGGTACTATTTCGGACACAACCCAGGCTTTTAAGTCCAAGGCCCACATTGTAGACAGGTAGCGAAGAAGAGAGACCACCAGTGCATGTAGGCGGATCCCTTTTTTTTTAGGAGGCGGTTGCCGTGGTGAGGAAGGGCAGCTTCAGGTACTGGTACCACTGTTTGAGTTGCCGCGGCAACAACAGCAGCACGTTCTCTGTGAGGAAGAGCAGTGCTTCCTGCATGGCCGGTCGAAGCAGCTGATTGGGTGACATGGAGAGGACCAGGAGACAGAACTTCTCCTTCAGAGAGAGACAGGGGTCATGTTCGTTAGGCACCAAACAGAAGAAAACAGACTGAAACAGGGTTCTTCTTGTCCAGTAAGAACCGCTTGTTTTATAGTTTCCATTACAGAACGTTTTGCTAGTGTGCCCTAATGAATACGATCCAGGTTGAGTATGTTTCTGTGTCTTCTAGGAAGGGTGAACCTTTCAGAATGTTGCAGATAGAAATGCCGACACGATTGCCTATTCTCTGTGACAAAGACAGAGAGGTCTGTTCTACACTATGTATTTCTATCTGAGCGTTCTGTCACGTTCCATACCTTGGAGTAGGGGAGCCTTTTGTTGGAGAAGCTTTGAAACTCTGAGATCTTCTGAAGTATGCTGTTATATTTGGAGTCTCTGTCTCCGGAAAGTTCTGTGGCCTCACTCTGCAGTGCCGCAAACCTTTTCATATGATTAACATTTATTATTTTCACATTTCTGATTCTGTTCAACTTTCTAACATGAAGGAAAGCAGACAAGGAGTTTCAAAGCCACTTGAAACTATTGAGTTACACCACATGATGTTTTGTATGAGAGGTGAGAAGGGGGCCTACCAGAGACCAGTTGTGGATTTGGGCTCCTTCGACTCACTCTTCAGAGAGGTAAGGAGTGAGGACAGACCAGCGTCGGTCTTGGAGGCCATTAGAGCATTGAAAAGAGTTCTCATCCTCTCCTCGCGGTTCCTGAGGACAGAGCATGGGACTACAATGAGTCACTGTAGGGCATCTTGATGACAAAGTAAAAATGTTTGGTCATGAAATTTAAATCCATACGTTTTTGTTTTTTTGGGAGCCGAGGTGAAGGAGGGTTCTTTGGCCTAGAAGTGCATCTAGGCCAAAATCCAACAACTTTTTTTGTAATTTCAGATTTATTGTGTTTCTACTTCCTGTCATTGCCATATGGGACAGAGAACATACAGATTGCACCTCTAATGATTTACGTCAACAGGCGCGGTCCTGTGTGGCTCAGTCAATCAAGCATGGCGCTTGCAATACCAAAGGTTGTGGGTTCGATTCCCACTAGGGCCACCCATAAGTAATATGTATGTATGACTGTAAATTGCTTAAGATAAAAGTGTCTGCTAAATGGCATATATTATAATAACAGGTAGATCATCCAGAACAAACGATCCTTTACAAAAACGCCGTCTGACTGCGACATGTAGATAGACGCTTGTCCTCCCTCACTTTTTCTTTTGAAACACTCCGGACTCCATCTGGATGTCCAGAACCTTCTTCACATCCCGGTATTGGGCCTTGGCTCCCTCCAGCATGCCTGACTGGTCTGCTCTAGGCCTAGGGGAGGGAATGAAAATACCCGTTTTATCTTTACATCTTAACTATGCGAATAAAAATAATAAATTGTACATATATAGGAAATCAATCCATTTTGTTTTAAACTCACTTCACTGTTTTCTTCTCTAGGGACGCTGTCGGAAAAGACAAAATGAGGTGAGTATAGAAGCAAACACGAGATATACTGTATACACAACAGTGAATTGATTTATCTTATGTAGAATACATTGCCATTGCTAGAACAACATATCATTTTGCCATTTCAAACGATTTGTACTGAAGTGATGCGTTTTGTAATGGCAACACATGAACACAGTCTGGCCAAGGGTGGAATGTAGTTGGTGAGGTATACAATCCCACAATCCCACAATCCTTCAGGAATTCATGCCGTGTGGCAGAGTCCAAAAACCCACAATACCACCACTGACGCTGCGCTTGGAGTCGCAACATTGATAGTGTTTGCTTCCTGTATTTCCTTCGCCTTCGTATAGGGAAATAATCACATAATGAAGAGTTACAATGGCTGTGTCTGCTAAGTGGGAACAACATGGCACATGGATGGCAACGTTGTTGTTGTTGTTGTTGTTGTTGTTGTGTGTGTACTTGGGTCTGCTTGAGTGTGTGATCTCTACTCTCAGTCCTGTGTGTGTGTAGTATTTTGTAGACTGACTGTTCTCATCCAGCAGCAGTATCAGCCATGGGGGTACTTCTTCACCTCTGTCTGGCTCTCTCTGGCCAACCTTACGCCTGGGCCCCGACTGCAGAGATTTATATCTGCGATTTATAGACAAGCAACTTATTACAGTGTGGGAGAATCGATCAGTCCTGTGTTCTTTTGATTGTTCACCATTTTCTTACCCTGTGGTTCGGATGGTGGTTAACTTCGACGGCTCTGAGATTCACGAGAGAGAGAGAGAGTTGTATCACGGGGTGAGCTGTGCACAACACTCGTTGTTTGACAGTTGAATATTGCAATTCAGGTGACACTCAATAGATTGTCCAATCGACTAGGTCAGTGCGGTGTCGTCACCTGTGGTGTCGTCACCTGTGGTGTCCTGGTGGCTGATGAAGGTCTCCCACACGTCACGGGTGATGCTGTGACAGTCCTCGGGGGCCAGGGACACCAGCCGCCTGGTGTAATTCAGCGGAGGGTTGTAGTAGCCGTGTGACTGCTTCAGGAGGATCTTGGTCTTCTCTGTGTCCTTCATGATGATGTTCACATAGCTGCTGTTGAGAGGAACCTGGAAGGTTCTCTATCACTATTAAATCCCTTCAACACCATCCTAGAGGTGGTCCGGTAGACTCTGCAATATGACGTGTGACCTGTGCTAGCTTAGGCTCACCAGTGTCTTCAGGTCTCTGTTTCGCATGTGAGAGATGCCACACAGGACCATGTAGATCCACTGGAGTTTCTCTGAGAACAGCTTCTGCTTCCTGTACTGTATCCTCCTAGGAAGAGCGCAGGAAATATAACGTGTCAAGCAGGGGTAAAGGACTACAGCAAGTGGCAGACAGAACTATGAACGACCTTTTCTTATCAATAAGTAATCCAGCATCGTGTGGGAGTATGATTGATAAAACTGCAGCAATCTATGCGTTGTAGCAGTATTGGGTGTGATTTTAAAACTTGATTTGCACATCACAGAAATAGACAGGGACGGTACACAACATACTGTAGGTTCTCTTCTTCCTCTGGGTCCAGTGCCTGTTGGTTCATGGACATGGGCAGTGGTGGTACAGTCTCTTTATCAGCTGAGGAGACGGAAGGATCGGAGGATGTGCATTGGGGCGAACATAGTAGAATGTGTCAGTAGTACAGCATTGGTAATTCATTCTGCATTGTGCTTTAGGTGAACAACCTGCCATGGCTCGGTCACATGGTGTCTTGGGAGGCACAGGTTTCTTCATTAGCGATGACTGTTTATCCTTTACAATGAGAACATAAGAGGAGACAACACGAATTCTTCATGTTACAGTGAAACGGACCAACATCCTGTACATTCCAAGAAGTATGAATAGAACTTTAAGGATGAAATTTAAAAAAGGATGAAAATCCCGGTGCCGTTTAAGTATACACATCCGAAGTAAAACAACGTATCAGGCTATGCTATCTACTAAACAAAAACTGAGTTCTGTTTTCCCGCAGTGCTTTACCTGGTCCCTGAGGCAATATATGAGAGGGCGTCCAGTGTGGAGAGCACGTCTGATGGAGGCCATCTCTCTCATGTACTGCTTCAGCTGGATGAAGCCATTCAGGCTCTCCACTGGAAGGGCTCTGACGTTCTCCTCCTGGGAGAAATACACATATTTTAGGGACAGTTGAAATATATCCTATTCAAATATCAATTACCTGAATGTGATAATGAAGAAGGATTTACTGCATGATAATGAATTATGTATGTCATAATTATACAGTAAGTCCCCCCCCCCCCCCTCCCCCTCTCTCACCTTTTTAGCCTTCTCCTGAGTGGATTTGCTGGAGAACACTGTATTTTTTCCTAACTTCTTGTCCCACTGTGTCTGCCATAGAATGACTCCGAGTGAGGACCTGCCATTTTAAACAACTATACAAAACACATTGATGTGTGTGTGTGTGTGTGTGTGTGTGTCACCTTCAGTGACTCTTGATCCTCTGATGTGAGCCAGGATGAGAAGAGATCAATGTTGTCCGAGTAAAGCCTTCCCACTGTTTTGTATGGTCTGTCCAAGGGACAAGGCATTGCTTTAAGTTTAGAGTATACACACACACACACACACACACACACACACACACATCATGGATGTGTTCCTAATGTTTGGTATACTCAGTGTATTGTGTTTCATACTTGTTGACAGGGGAGAAAAAGCCTTTCCCGAGCAGCCCCTGTCTCCTGTAATAGTTATTCCTGGCCTGATCATTTTGGATGAGGCCATACTCTGTGTCACTGCGGGTAACAACCTTCTCGGGTAAGTAACTGTGCTCTTGGAAAACACAAAAGCACAACGTGGTAACAGTCAGTAGTAATTCATTGCATTAACTCCAATTTCGTCCATTCACTCCAGTGGGCTTTTGATGAAGTAACGTGACATTGTACAGTAGCCACTAGTAGGGGCCCACTCAATCACCTTTTCGGAAGTCGGTGGTGAACTTGTGCTTGACGTAAGTGATGAGTTCCTGGTCTCTCTCACTCAGAGGCTGGTCTAGCAGAGCAGCTGGTTTCCTGTTCTCTTCAGCCATGAGGACAGTAGGCTGCTTCAACTGTTTGACAAAGGAAGGTTGTGTGTGTGTGTGTGTGTGTGTGTGTGTGTGTGTGTGCACAGGGCAGGCCACATTTGCGTTCATTATGTTAGCTACATCATGGCTCAAGTAGAAAGGAGTCTTGTTACATTTAATATACATACAGTACCAATATATACACTATCAGTAATATATACAGTACCAGTCAAAAGTTTGGACACCTACTCATTCCAGGGTTTTTCTTTATTTTTACTATTTTCTACATTGTAGAATAATAGTGAAGACATCAACTATTAAATAACACATATGGAATCATGTAGTAACCAGAAAAGAGTTAAACAAATCTAAATATATATTCTATATTTGAGATTCTTCAAATAGCCACCCTTTGCCTTGATGACAGCTTTGCACATTCTTGGCATTCTCTCAACCAGCTTCACCTGGAATGCTTTTCCAACAGTCTTGAAGGAGTTCCCACATATGCTGAGCACTTGTTGGCTGCTTTTCCTTCACTCTGCCGTCCGACTCATCCCAAACCATCTCAATTGGGTTGAGGTCGGGGGATTGTGGCGGCCAGGTCATCTGATGCAGCACTCCATCACTCTCCTTCTTGATAAAATAGCCCTTACACAGCCTGGAGGTGTGTTGGGTCATTGTCCTGTTGAAAAACAAATGATAGTCCCACTAAGCCCAAACCAGATGGGATGGCGTATCGCTGCAGAATGCCGTGGTAGCCATGCTGGTTACCACAGACAGTGTCACCAGCAAAGCACCCCCACACCATAACACCTCCTCCTCCATGCTTTACGGTGGGAACTACACATGTGGAGATCATCCGTTCACCCACACCGCGTCTCACAAAGACACAGCAGTTGGAACCAAAAATCTCAAATTTGGACTCCAGACCAAAGGACACATTTCCACCGGTCTAATGTTGATTGCTCGTGTTTCTTGGCACAAGCAGGTCTCTTCTTATTATTGGTGTCCTTTAGTAGTGGTTTCTTTGCAGCAATTCGACCATGAAGGCCTGATTCACACAGTCCCCTCTGAACAGTTGATGTTGAGATGTGTCTGTGACTTGAACTCTGTGAAGCATTTATTTGGGCTGCAATTTCTGAGGCTGGTAACTCTAATGAACTTATCCTCTGCAGCAGAGGTAACTCTGGGTCTTCCATTCCTGTGGCGGTCCTCATGAGAGCCAGTTTCATCATAGCACTTGATGGTTTTTGCGACTGCACTTGAAGAAACTTTCAAAGTTCTTGAAATGTTCTGTATTGACTGACCTACATGTCTTAAAGTAATGATGGACTGTCGTTTCTCTTTGCTTTTTTGAGCTGTTCTTGCCTAAATATGGACTTGGTCTTTTACCAAATAGGGCTATCTTCTGTATACCCCCCTACCTTGTCACAACACAACTGATTGGCTCAAACGCATTAAGAAGGAAAGAAATTCCACAAATTAGCTTTTAAGAAGGCACACCTGTTAATTGAAATGCATTGCAAGTGACTACCTCATGAAGCTGGTTGAGAGAATGCCAAGAGTGTGCAAAGCTGTCATCAAGGCAAAGGGTGGCTATTTGAAGAATCTCAAATCTCAAATACATTTTGATTTGTTTAACACTTTTCTTTGGTTACTACATGATTCCATATGTGTTATTTCATTGTGTTGATGTCTTCACTATTATTCTACAATGTAAAAAATAAAGACAAACCCTTGAATGAGTAGGTGTGTCCAAACATTTGACTGGTAGTGTATATATTTCAACTATGAGTCTTGCAACATGATTAGATTTGTGAATAACTATTTGTGGTCAAATAATTGTGTAGCTTATCGATCCAATAAAAGGTGGCCTTATATGGTCTTTTTTTTTTTTGCAGCTTCAATCAGCATATTTTGAGGCACCTGGCTAAAAGATGAGCCGGGGGTAGCTGCATCCCAATATGGAGACCGGTATATGGGCGAGTGGGTGTGTCGAAAGGAAAGTAGTGGGTGTGTGGAAAAGAGTGGGTGTGTCAAAAACGCTATGCTATAGGTTAGACGGTTTTGATTGAGCTGTGTTTTTAATCTACTCATGATGGAGGTTGTTGCAATGATTTATAAATACACTAGATTACTGACCGGAGCGCTGTTTTGAAGCCACGGCGCCTCCATCTTGGCACTAACCCACCAGTGTAAAAAATATTTTGGAAGCTATAGAAATGCATTTACTAATGTCTGTATTTTTTTTTGCCAAGTCTATTCTATTACAGATACCTTAATGCATACTTTTAAATTATATTATGTGAGCTAAACATAAAAATAAACAAATATTCCTTAGTATAATTTTTCGAAAGTACTAATGTTACTGTCCCCACTACAACTAAAATTGTTAAATACATGTCCTTGAAACGTTTCAATGAAATACTGTAAAATTCAGTTTCATTCCTATGGAGGACTGCTTTTCCGAGGAGTGCCAATATGGCCGACCGGTGGCTTCAAAACTTCTCCATGGCCAAAACATAGCATCTGCAATCCAGGGTTTATATAAATCATTGAATGTATGCGTGTGCTTACTGTGACTAGCTAGCTTTCCATCCAATTAGCGACAGATTTTGATGCAAATATTCTAAAATCCGCATTTTAGAAAATATGCTACTTTTCCCACCAGTTGTGTGTTTCCACCAAAATGACTTGTTGCGGATAAAAATCAGCGCGTGATGAGGAAGTGCACACAAAATGTACTTTTTCGCTTAAGTTTTCATGTACCGAATAAAAAAAAAGAAAGTTCAATGTGTTTCCATTGCATTTTCAACTATACCAATAGTTTTGTCACAAAAACCGTTGCGTCAAATACCAAAAATGCACTTGTGCTCTTGCAGATACAGTGTGGGTAGGCTAGTCTACATGATGACATTATTATGGATATTTCAATTTGTCAAACGGCAGTCAAACATCGACCATCATGTCACCCGAATAAGACCCTCGATATTTATTGGAAAGCAGCATCAAGATCATCACCTTGCACTTTGACCACCCTGTGAAGTTCATCATAACTTCTTTCATCTGTAGCCTAATAAACTGCAAGGTTTCCTGATTCGTAGTGGGAGGACCACACACCATATCATCGAATGACTCGAAGTTTACTTCGATATGATGGTTACTATCTCAATATTTGCACAAAAAAAAGTGTTTCCACAACCATTTCTCGCATAATTAACTTTACCAACATAAACATTTCCCACCATGTCGAAAGAACAAATTGTCTGTTGGCATTTATAAAATTGTACCGAAACTTCCTGTTTCCACCACAGCTGTCGTAAAACAGTTTTGATACGTTCTGACTTGTGGATGGAAACGTGGTTGTCATGCCGATACTGGCTACTAGGTAGCTACTTCCCAGCAGGACTGTAATGCTTGGCAAGCTGGAGCTTAGGCCACTGTGTTGTTGCCATTCATACTCTCCCCATTGATTAGACTGTATGTATCAAGGTGACATATATATGGTTATCAATATTAGTTCTGTATTAGAAAGAGGGGGGGTCGTGCTGGAACCAATGGGGATGCTCGAGGGAGGGGGAATGCCCACATGCAGGAACGCCCGAATTGCGGGATGCAGTTGCACACCACTGCTGCAGCTACCCATTCTTGCAAAATATTACCTTTCAGCACGCTCTTCACACGTCTGTCCTCATCACCGTCCTCGATGACACCTGCAAGAAGCAAGAACTGTGTTGAAACTCCGCAAGAACTGGGAAGGACAGGCAGAACAGCAACTACTTGAGGTGAAAATTAAATACAAAACGAAATTTAAAAAAAGAAACTGTAGGAAAAGCCTACCTTTTGGCGAGCGTGTTTGTAGACCTCTGTTAGCACTTCGGAAGGAACGGAAACAACGTTCTTTATTCATCGCGTCACAAAGCGGATTCAGTCGTTTAGACATTTTGGGATAAGTGAGCGCGCGCCACTCCGTTCCCTGATCGTTTGAACTACAATTAAATAATAAATAAATAATAATAATATGCCATTTAGCAGACGCTTTTATCCAAAGCGACTTACAGTCATGCGTGCATACATTTTTGTGTATGGGTGGTCCTGGGGATCGAACCCACTACCCTGGCGTTAAAAGCGCCGTGCTCTACCAGCTGAGCTACAGAGGACCACAATAAATAACTTTTTCAATTGTATTTTCCAGACGAATTTGTCAGTTAAACATCTTAACTGGCCATACCAAGACAGGACACTGACCATAAATTGGCATGGTCAAATTATGAATGGAATGTTCATTTTCAGTGGAAATAAGAGTAGTGTTCCAACAATGTCCAGAAGAGGGGGCTTATGCCCTGGCTAAAGTTTTTGACCTGAGAGTTGCTAGAATCCAGAATAGATCATATCACATAGTGCAAAAACAGTGGAACACTTTATGAAATGTCATCACTAAGGACAGTCTTTCTGTCAAACTAGGTCGAAGGTATGTCTACGTCAGACCTATGAATTAGTCTGGCACTTCTTTAGTATTCTATGAGAACATATCTTGTCTTGACACATCTGCTGGCCCAACCAAAGGGATGATTTTTGTAGTAGAGACAAGTCCTGTCCTGGTCATGGAAAACTGCCCCGCTGTCATCAGTCACATAATAAAGCCCTGGGGTGTATTCATTAGTCGGATTATGTCGCTAAACTTTTTGTCATTGAAAAAAAATTTTTTGTAACAGAAACCTTTTACTTCAAACGTAAAACGTTTAGCAACGAAAACCAGAATTTCTATTGGACAAATTCAGGTAGGTCCCGCCCCCGTTTCGTTCCGTTTGGTCAGTTTGCTTCCGTTTGGTTCCTAGAGTGAACGGTAAACTGTTTCCATTGCAACACTAAACGTTTTGACATGGAATCCAACTAATGAATACACATCAGGTGCTCTGTGTATTCTATTGTACAGTACCAAATGATTTTATGAGAGGAAAGCCCTCCTGCAGCTAGACATTGAAAGAGCCCGCTTCTGTTCTTTCGTTTAGGAGCTCCGGGAC